CCGGATTTGGAAGCCCCTTAGATAGTCACAGACTCACCAAAATCACACTGGTGCTTGTTGTTCCCCAATTCCACATTCTCAACAAAGTAACGACATGACTCCCAATATTAATTGAAATGCTTTTATGGATTTAGAAAATGATTTTATTGATTTAAAAAATAGTTTTATGTATTGATTTAAATTGACATGCATCCGCTAAGAAAAGTAGTCCGTTGTTACCGTTTGAACTACGTAGCAACGGCAGGAACTGCTTCGATAGTGTTTTTGAGGAGCTTTTTGATTACAGATTTGAAAACATCGTTGCTTGCTTTTAAAAGTAGCACAATTCATTATGTCAAACCTTGGAAAGTATCTAGATATCCCTGCCCTAATGCCAAAGGAACTGCACACTGAATATGTGTCGCCGTTTGATGTCTATGTCTGGACCGCTGTGTAAAAAGGAGGGTTTCTGCCCCATTACTTCTCTTCTTACTTCTATAAGAATAAAACACGGAGGACGGAGATCTCTTTTTCTCCCCCTCTTCTGAGCCCAGCAGCTGATCTCAAAGCACGCTCCCCTCTCCTGCAGGGGGCGTGGTCAGCTGCAGCTCACAGAATCAGCCCCTGCCAAAAACAGCGCTGGAAAGAGCAAATAGAGCGAAATGAGGCATGGCTAAAATGCAGGATCTTTTTGGTCTTTATAGTCTATATTTTTTTATATAAAAAAAGATATTTATATACTTTATATAGGTCGATACAGTAACCCCTTATCTGTTTTGTGTAGCGTGGTTCTACAAGCAAGTCAATGCATTCATTGGGTGGTATCATAAAGTTGCAAGGGTCTGTAAATGCAATGAAAACAATTGGCCACAGCAAATAATTTATATTAAACATGTAATTTTTACTTTTGAATACTTCAGTACAAAGAATGTATTGAATAATTTAAGTGATATATGTGTACACATATAAATCATTAGTCAAAACAGGGCTACATTTGATTTAATTAAAAGGTATAATATGTGGTAAACTGAAGAGCCGTTTGGAGCCGAAAGAGCCGGCTCTTCTTGGTGAGCCGAGCCAAATGATCCGGCTCACCAAGAAGAGCCGGAATTCCCATCACTAATCTGAGAGGCCACAGGTAGTGCAAGGTATAGTCAGTGACGTCACGTCCTGGACGCACTGCAGACAACATTGCCCTCTGCAGGACACAATGAGCAAGGGCGCACATAATGGTACAACATTTAACACTCACCATCACAGATTTTTTCAGATTTGTGAACAATATTTGAGAGAAATGGTTATTTTGTGTATATAGAAAATGTTTTAGATCTTTGAGTTCATCTCATGAAAAATGGGCGCAAGAACAAAAGTGTTGCGTTTATATTTTTGTTCAGTGTACATAAATCACATTTACAACACAGATCAGTGGAGATATTTTATTATTATTACTATTTCGTTTTTCTTTAGTTGTTTTTCCGTTACATTGGAGTATGACAGGTGAGGCCCTGCCTCCCCTGACTGCACGTCGCTGACTTCTTCATAATGTCTAATAGTTTACTTTTCATTCAGGAAGTATGACGCTGCGCAGTCAGTACGCTTCTCCATGTTTGTGATTGGTCAAATGTTGCTAGCCCCGCCCCTTTCATGTGAACGCGCACATAACTAGATAGGGCAAAGCTGGCTTGAAATAACGAGTTGATAGCCAGCGTCGTAGGACAGTCCCGACGGAGAATACTTTTGCTGTAGTAAATCTCTATATACATCGATACAACATTACATTAATGAAATAAGACCCCACGGTTTGATGATTGATAGGTGTGTGGGCTGTCTTTCATTTTGACACACAGAACAATGGGGGCTATCCACCCTTATCCACAATGTAAAGTCATTCACAGCCTCTTCCCTCTTCTCTCTGTGAGGAGCAGCAGGTTCAGCTTTCAGAACAAAGTAACAAAAAACTAAAATGGCATTCATTTTTTTAAATATGTCGTGTAGTAATAGATGTATTTATTTTTCTTCTCAAGAGAGTACCAGAATATGTATTTTATGTTAGTATTTCAAAAAATCTCCTGGGGGAGAATCCCCACAGACCTCCCTGCAGGGGTTGGGTTTTCAGCATGTCAACTCTTTCACCTGTGGGGAAATTGCAGGATTGGCTCCAGGTCGCCCTTTTTATTTACTACAAGACAAATGTGCCTTTTTATTTCAAACAGTTCAATTTGGATTGAGACAGGGAAATAATCTAAACCTCACGCGTGGCGTTTCACTGTCAAGGGGAGCGGGTATGTAATTACAATGCAAATACTGACTTGAGCCCCACCCACTGTATGGGTTAGCCCTACCATAGATTACCCAACAAAAATACTCTCTCGCAACTGCCGACCCGTATTGCGCATGCGCAGATCTAAGAATCAATAGAAATGATAAAAAAGTAAAAGTCTGCTGCTTATTGTTCTACTAGGCCAAAATAGAGTCAAAGAATGTATGAGAGTGAGAGTGTGTTAATTAATATATTTGGCAGTTTGGAGTAAGTCTGTAGATTTGTTTGTCTGTGTGTGTGTTTCATGTGTAGGCCTCTCACGATAATTAATTTTGTTGGAAACATTTTCCAGGAAATTATTGCGATAAACGATAATATTGTCGGCACCGTTGTATGACCATTTTAGACCACTGACATAATGATAATATATATTAATAATTCAAGTACATCCTTTCAAACTGCTAGTCACATCCTCATGTAAATGGAAATGTATCGAGTTCATTTTTATTTATCGTACTATAAGTCAATGAATTGCTTATCGCGACAGGCACACAATAAAACAGTGGAAACAAACATGTGTTTGACTTTCATTAGTGAATGAAACTTTGTGCCCTTTATAGTCTGTGTCCAATATTGTGTATTTGTATATATTGTATATATATCCTATATATATATGCTAAGGTCCCGCTGCTGACACAATAGCAGTCATTTAGTGCGCATATGTGTAATTAAACCCATGATATCAAAATCTCAGTCCAGCCAGGAACCCAAAGTTGGCAACCCTGGTGTACTCAGGGACGAGGAGTCAGTGAACCAGCCGCCAGTAGTGTCAGGCTTTACTTTCTTTTATATCCATAAAGAAAAAGTAAATCTGTTTACAGTTATTTCATATGGATGTTGAGAGGTATCCCTATATCTCTTCATGTTGCTCTCAAAGTGCACCAGATTGATGCATCTAACTTCAATATTTAAAAACAAATCTTCCCAGAGGAGCATGCCCCACTTATAAAAAAGCACTTTACCACTCCACTGCACCCCCTCTAATCTCAGATGCACCCTGAGTCATTTTGTTTATGTACAGTGAGCCTTTCTAAAATATACAGTAAAGAGACAAACCCACCAGCATTATAGGATATACTATGACTTTGAGCCAAATGTAGTTTTTGTGCTGTATAAATTAATTGACTTGAAACAGTTGCTGATTTAGAGTACTGGCACCTTTTTGATTCCAATTCAAGCACTGATGACATGCTTGTATTGGCGTGAGGTCGGACCATTACACAATACGTTTCTGTAGAGTTTTATAAACAGGGATTGTTTATTTCTGAGTAATTGCTATAACAACTTGGCAGTTGGCACCTTTTTCTTTTTAAATATATTTGTATATGATGTTTACCTGAGACATTCCACAACAATCACAAAAATGTTCTATTTCTATGAGTCAGGTTAGACTCGGATGTGATTTTTCTTTTTGATAACTTTTTTTTCTTTTAGAATGATTGGTTTAGTATTTTAGCTGTCATTACATGAGCACAGTTTACATTCATTTGCGAACAAACGCTACATGTAGGATAGATTCTTTATTGTATGAATGCTATTTTTGTATTTTGATAAATTACTATTGTGATTATTCAACTCAGGCATGTCATAAAGTCTAAAGGCTGTGACTAATAATACAATGTTTTAATTCTCCACCTCTGTCTTGTGTGTGTGTGGTCAGTGGTAATATAACACACACACACACACACACACACACACACACACACACACACACACACACACACACACACACACACACACACACACACACACACACACACACCACAGAAAGGCACTCGCTGCTCAACATTAAAAACCATGAAACATCTGGAGGACGTGATGTGAAATCATAAATGAATACTTACATTCCTTTCGAATATGGGTAATGATTTTATATCAATAACGATGATATTCTGTGGCGCAAGAACTACTCAGAGTGGTCAATCAGTCAGTTACTAATACCACACTGTACAAATGCTAATTTCAGCCCATTTCAAATTCGAGTGTAGAAAGCTCTAAAGTATTATTACCATTTTCTTCTTAAAATATCACGTAACAGTAATCACAAAATGAGGAGTATCTCAGGAAAACGAGAAAATGAAAATATCTCTTTATCTTTTATGAATGACATCGATAAAGTCTCATAGACTTTAAAACAGTTAATAATACAAATAAAAGTAATAAAGTCAGCCAAAATTGCAATGGCACAGTGACATCTCTCATCACTCTCTGCCCTCTCCCCTGATGTTAATACAGACAGGTTTGCAACTTCAGAAAGACTGGAATAATAAGTGAAGACATTCTGAATATCATTCATTGTTTCTAAGATTAAATATGACATTTCAAGACTTTTAGCCACCCAGGTTGTGTTAGTGATCAGGGGGATCTCCAGGATTTTTTGAGAACACCATGAATAAGCAGAATTTGTAGCTGCTCTAGTTTGGGCTACTTTATCAGTCAACGAGTTTAGATCAGTGCATTCCAAACACCAAAGGGAAACCAGATGAATGTGAAGGCCTGTGGGATGATTTAAGATGGAGTAGGCATCTAGTAAACTAGATTTTGAAAGTACTTAACCAAAAGTAATCCCAGAGTCGCATGTGAGTAATAGACTGCTGTTGCAAATATAAAACAATTAAAAATGCAGATACATGATGAATCACATTTTGTTTTTTAAACACGAATACAAAGGGGACTCCAGAAACGAGACCTCATCAAACAGTTTGATTAATATTTTTATTGTTGAAAAAATAACGAGTATCAGGTTTGTAGTTGTGGAGGGACTTCAACAGGAGTTCCTCTCTTTATGTACACTGATGAGATTTCCTGCTCAGGCTCATTTGTAAGACATTTTAAACCCAGTATATCAAAATTCAAACACTCCAATATCCACAATAAAGGAGTTAAAGAGATACATGTCCATTACAGGGTCAGTCCCTTTAACTTCCAATAACAGGTTCTATGTTTGAATGCTGGCAGTCCAACGACACCATGACACATCATTCACACTGATCAGCTCCGACACCCCAATGACCTACTGACTGCATTTACACCTGAACGCTCCATCAGGCCTCATGAAGACACTTAAGTGGATCAGAAGTCGTCGCCCAGAAGAAAAGAGTTGGAGGCAGCTCAGCCAATCAGAAACAGATTGTGTGCACTCGGATAATGCTGCATTTATGTCTAATGGAAAAATATGTATTTAAAAAATGCAGTTCACCTCAGCTTTGAAATGATGAATTCAAACCCTCTGATAAATGTAGAGACAGATATGGTTCCTTCCCATATGACATAAATGCAGCATTACCTACTAGACACACGTCTTCCATACTCTGCCTTCACTCTTTTCACACTGGACCCCATTAAGGAAGCATATGGCTGTTTTTTCATTTTCACTGATTTGTCCAGTACTGCTGTCCATTTTTCAAAGCACCAGTTCTGAAGACTGATTTTCACTCTTGTTACCAGCTGCTGTTAAGTCTGATCACAGCACCCACTATTTACATTTCAAAATGATAAAAAGGACCTTCTTTGCAATTTTGAAGCCAATAAAAGGCAGAAAGTAAACACTAGTAAGCTTGGTCCATGCACGATCATCAATACGTATTATACTACTTGAATCCGTTGGAGTGAACTCACTCTAAGATCTGAGAAAGTGATTACTTCATGATTTAAGTGAAAATGTATTAAGTTACAGGAATCGTGACAAAAGAAGAGTGGATGAAATATAGTTGTATGGATTGTACAGAGTGCAGGGTGCTTTGAAATCGGCTGGCAGTAACGTACATTATTTGTGGCCAATTATCTAAAACACGTCAAACCAGCTTCACGATTCTTTAATGGAGAGCGACTGATTTGGCATTTTGTTCACAGGAGAGCGAAAAGTCACAAACTATTCCATCAGTCTGCGGTGCATGATAGACAAATACAAATAACAGGAATAAAGTCACTAACAACCTGGAGTTTAAAAAAAAGAAAAGTTGTGGCAGTTGAGATGTAAACAGAGTAACGCATAGAGCATGAAGTCGGTCTCATCACTATCACTGTCCAGTATGGCTAAATGTGCATTTAAACAATTTGAGGCGGAGAAGGTGAGCAGTGTAACTCCGATATACATTGCAAACATCCACATTATGCAAGATGTTTGGCTTCAAAGGTTACAAGATAGCATGGGACATGTCTCAGGCAGATGTCACTAAATGTCTGTTTGACCATATTCATATTTATGCATGTTTGAAAAAATAGCATGTTCTTGATCAAATGACTGTCCCCTAGTACCCTGAAGGCAGCCTGGACTGTACCACTGAAATAATGAATGAACTTTACATGGTTTTATTATATATATATATATATATATATATATATAACCAAATCAATCATATATGATTCAAAAATACAATACATTGATTTGTATTTTAATGATAAATTGACTCAATAAAATAGAGTAAAACACTAATAAAAAATTGCCAAAAATTACATTTCTTTATTCCATATTTCAATTATAATCGTTTTCTGTTCACCTCGTCGGCTTACCATATTCCACATTATACTTTCTTCATGCTGTCATTTTTTCATTTGTATCACTGTACAATGAATGAGGCAGAAGCAGGAGCTCTGATTGGTCAGATTCAGAACAACCAGCCAATCAGAGCTCTCCGTGCTGCTCAGTGAGTTTCAATAGTCGAAACATTAAATAAAAACTGCCAATAGAGAGTGAATATGATAGAATGTAAAAAATAAACAATTTAATTTTCATTCAAACGATTATCACATTTAAATACAGAATAAAGCAAAAATGATTCAAATGCAAATGTTTTTTACTGTTTTGTAAAATGTGTTTAATCATTTGATATTATTTGACATACACTGTAAAAGCCTTTAGTGGCACACTCCAGGCAGATTTTGCTTTTCTTTCTGATGATTAAGAGATTCACACTTTTTTAAATCAGTCTAAATTTAAAAAGTCTTGGGAATGAATGATAAGTATAATAAACCTGCTGTGGTCCTTAGTTAATGTGCCCACCTACACTGAGATAAATGTTAGCTGATTTGGGATAAGTCTTCTGCAGAAAATCAAACGTTGCATCATCACTATAATTCAGTTTATCATTAAACTCATTCCATTAACAATGCCCAGTATACACAAATGCATGATATGTTATTTGTTATTTAGCCATGACGACACAGCCTAAACACAGAGGAGATTCACAAAGCTGCCGGAATGATACAGATAAATCATATTCAACACAAGGAGGAGACAACAGAAAAAAGGCAGTGATTAAAATAAATCTCTATCTCCTGTAAACATCCTTTAAAAGATTTGATTACTTCAAACATCAATTTATTATAAAAGGAAAAAAAACCGTAGAGAAAATATGATATTCTAATAGTTTACAGTCTCTTTTGGTATAGAATAAAATCATGATTGGAATTAATTTACAAAATATCAGCATTTTCATTCTATACACACATAACAAGCTACATAAACTGAAGAGACAAGTGGATGGGTTCAAATCAAAGAGAGGCTGAGAGGCCTCTGAGGGCAGGGGGGGGGGTCAAGTTTAAATCAGCTCCATGTTAGTGTAGAGAACAGACAGGGCAAAGCAACTGCTCACGAAGAGAAAACAATATATAGCAAATTATCCTAAAGCCACGCATTATTAACTCGTGGCCACATATTCATATTTTTCTCACCAATATCACCAGGGGGACTCCGTATAAAAACACCAGGATGACTGTCTTAAGGCAATCAAACCGTTACAAGTCTGTCCTGTTAAAGTAGGGCTGGACTCTAAAGGTGTGACTGCAGCTCTAATGTGAGGGTCTACATGTATTCAACATCTCTCCTGCAGTCTCACTTTCACATCTGAAAGAGTGGTGCAGTGATGAGCGGCGCGCAGTTAGCATCGCAATGGGCTTCCTCCACTAAACTAATGGGATTGTTCAAGAGGAATGTGGATAATTACAAGAAATAAACTCTGTTCAGGAGGATCATCTCCACATATTATCTCCACTTTCAGGATTTTCAAATGCAATTTCCAACAGTAAAAAGCTAACCTCCTTAGCTAGCAGCTTTAGCTAGCGGCTAACGGTCAGCGTGATGACGTTTAGTTGTCTCATTTAGCCAAAAATAAAAATAAAGTTTAAGCTTTAAGATTTATATATAGAAAATGGAAACAGCTGCTTATAATAAGTGTGTCCTTTAATTGAGGAAACACAATCTGCTGATGAAGACGATGAGACGTGGCTGAAAGCTCCAGAAACACACTGGAGATCAAATGTTTGTAATCAAACTAAGCTATGAGAAATGGAACTCATGATTGAATGAAAACATATTCTCAAGAAAATATAGAAAATATTGGTAGCAACTGAGGCAGCTTTGGGCTTCCATCAATTCACGGCTCAATGGGTGGGAATGGAACGTTTGCTAACCTTTAACATACCTGGCATGATAGTAGTATAACTGTGACATACATACAGAATATCTGCAGATTCAGAGGGTGCATTCGCCTAAAAAACTATATTAGTCAAGCCTACAAAATAAAAAAGCAACATAAATCAGTTCAACTGATATTAGTGTAAAAAGGATGTGCTGACTTCTCACAACCAGTACATTAAAATGACTGCCCATCTGCACCAAGCCAAAACCAAATCAAAGTCAAATAAAATGAACATGACATGAAAGCATTCGTTGGCTGTCTTCTCTCTTTAGCATTCTGTCCCTCTGCTGAGTCTGTCAGGCGACTCTCTCTTTAGCATTCTGTCCCTCTGCTGAGTCTGTCAGGCGACTCTCTCTTTAGCATTCTGTCCCTCTGCTGAGTCTATCAGGCGACTCTCTCTTTAGCATTCTGTCCCTCTGCTGAGTCTATCAGGCGACTCTCTCTTTAGCATTCTGTCCCTCTGCTGAGTCTATCAGGCGACTCGCATTAAAGCAGCACGTTTCAAATATCTACAATCTTAAAATCCTCAGGGAAGTTTTATCACACTAGTATGTATCGTCATGACAACCAAGCACAGCATCATGTATTTTCCAGTATAACATCTCTCTTTTGCCCTTGAACACAGAAAAACTATCCAGAACTTGGGAGGGAAGTAGTTCCTATTGTTGCCCAGTAATAACTCACATTATAACAACTCAATCATAGAAAAGCTCATGGGTAACGCCAGAGCAACGGAACTAAAGACCAACCAATGAGCAGTGTTATCTTCTGATATACCTTTTCTTTAAACAAATGAGTACGACAATATAATGCCGTTCCTACAACTAGGGCAGAAAGAGAGGGGGGGGGCACCAAGTAACTGCAATAAACACAGCACATAGCTCAGGGTCTCAGAAGAGGTTGGGGGGGGGGGTTTGGCAGCTGAACATGTACAACGATTAAAACAGCCATGGTAAAAGCTAATAAGACGTGGAAGGTCATGAGAGGCAGGAACATGACTTGAGATCAGAGAAACATGGAGTACACAACACATCAAGCTGAACGAGCACACAGCATGAGGATCATCCTGCGGACACGGTCATAGTAGTAATATTAAGTATTTATTTCTTACAGTAAATTTACCTGAGTTAGATACCTGTAGACAGTGTTTAAACAAAAACACAAAATGACGACCCGACTTAAACCTCAACGCCTCCAGACTTCCTGTTGTACGCGCTGCCCACATTTCAAGAGGCCATTCATGTGCCTTTTCTGTTGTTGGGTTCAATGGATACCAACGGAAATACTTATTTTCATTGAATTATTTAACCTATATGAACCAAATCCAAGAGGAGGATAAAAGAGTGGTCTAAAAGTGTTCTAGTTTGACTGCATATCCAACAGTACACCTCTCTGTAACCAAATACACACAATTGGCAATATTTGCTTCAGACTTTTCTAGTGAATTGCATAACAGTAAATCTAACTACTTTAAATAAATAAATGGAAAAATCATGTAAAATGGATATTGCCATTACACTGCTGCGTATTGATTTGCAGCACTGCAATAGGCTGATACAACCAGAGATATTTAAAGGGAACAGCTATAACAGTATAAGCGGTGTAGAAAAAAATCTGACAAATTCCTATTGATATATTATATATATATATATATATATATATATATATATATATATATATATATATATATATATTGATATATATGTTTTGATATTGCAAAGCCTAGTTCTAGTTTGAGGTGTAAGGATATGCGATTTGAATAGAAATATACATAAATATATATATATATATATATATATATATATATATATTTGGCCATGATATAAAAATGCCCTATTGCTGCATTTCAAATGGACTAAAGTCACATTGAGTTGTGTGAGCATCTGTAAATCTTGCATCTGGAGACGTTGCGTTTAAGTTCCGGGTCGCAATGCCTTCATGGATTGATTAGTGCATGTAGTGCTGCTGATCACAGGGAACACACAACGGTCAGCTTCTACTGTCTCCACCTCGCTTACACACAAACACAGACACACAGACACACACACACACACACACACACACAACGAACCATCCCCGACGGTGAGATGATGACGATGATGTTTTTTTATATTCACGTCTTTGATTCTTTGATAGGAGGTAAAGAGATCTGGGGAGGAGTGAGACCTCTATGCGGTGTCGCAGAGGATCTGCTCCAGCACCATCAGCAGGTGTCTGAGGCCGTAGCTGTAGCCGCGGTCGTGGCATTCGCTTGGGAACACGTGGGCGAAGTCGATCATCCTGACCTCCACCTCTGTGTCTCCGCCCGTCCCCTCTGTTGCCCCGCCTCCTCGTCCTTTTAGTTCCTCCTCCTCTCTCCTCCTCCCCCCCCCGTCCTTGCCCTTCCCTTCCAGTTGTGATTTGTTTCCGTTTGCATTGGGCGCTGGTAAGGACTCACCTGTTCGTTTCCACACAGAGTTATCTTCCTCACAAGGTGCAGAGTCCAAGCTCGCCTTCGTCTCCGTGCCATCCCCGT